GTTGCCTCACGTCGCCTGTGTACAAAACGTGACACAAAAACACACTGTACCAGCTACAGTGCGTCTGCACGAGTAATAACTCTCCATACCAGCAGGTGATGGTAGTTTGTAAAAAAACAAACACACACAGGAAGACCTAGGACTGCGCACTCACGCTCAGACGGTTTCGTAAAACAGTTGCTTCTAATCAAGAAAAGGTCTGATTAGATCAGATGAGATGAAGTTGACGATCCTTTCGTGAGTGCCCTCTTGACAAAGTCATCTGCTGCTTTGCTCACTTCTGTTTCTCTGCTCGTGCACTGATTTACTTAAGCTAAACTGCCAGTCGGAGTGATTTCTCTCACCATTGGCCTCCACAACCGGTTCAACATGCTCAGTCGGCCAGAAAAGCCTCAGACGAGGGCCGATGAGTGCCAACGGTGCGGAAAATACCGCAAAAACTAAAACTACAGATGGCTGACATTGTGTCAGGGCCTTTTGAGCACAGAGTCTGAAAGGTTGTGCCATTATTATAGAGTTCTTGGAGAGAGATCAGGGAGGCAGTTAGATGCAATCAGCAGGAGTTTATGATTGCAGGCCTTTAATCCTGCCTTTAAGTTTGGTCATTCAGAACAGGTAAAAACACTTTAGATGTAGTTGTGTAAACAAGCTTTTTCGAAACAATACTGAATGATTTAATTGATTTCATTCTTAAATTTGATGCCAGGTTGCGTCACAATTTACTGTGTGCTCACGACCTGATTCCTATTTTGACTTTGTACTTTTTATTTGCCCATAATCCCATTTTTAATTACATTTTTTTTTCTGGTGCACATTGTTGTGTGCTGACTGTGTGTAACTTAATATTCATCACGTTGCAGCCAGGTGGCTGTTTAAACTCGGATATCTCAGCCAGGTGTCTGCTGAAAAATATTCTTATTCTCAGTGGAAGTCCTGCTTTAAAACATGTTGGAAAAGTAAACAAAAACTAACTGCAACTTCCAGCACCTGACAGCAACCAGATGCAGATTATTTTAAATGATTTTATCTGCTGTGTTTCACATTGGTTCTGTGGAGGATAACGTCTTTGGCAACTGAAAGCACTGCAGAGGAGCCCTGCCCTCTGTCTCCTCCACTGTAATATTCTTTAAGCTGCCTGTTATTAAGTCATGAAATTGGCCCAATGAAAGTCTTCCTCTTTAACTGTAACAATAGACGTTTTTTAAAGGAATTGGAAACACATTGAACCATAGTGCTCTGGGATCAGTTTTACCTCTGCCCATGTCTTCTTCCAATGTTCCACAAGTATTTAAATTAGGAGCACATTTCTGGAGCTCATCTCGTACTGTGACCTATTTGTCTGAGTCTGACCTATTCACGCTCTAAAGGTTGCTTTAGGTGAAAACTCAACCATTTAACGGCTGAGATGTCCAACCAGGTATTCATATCATGTCTTAGAAGGAAGGTTCAGGGTGATTGGTGTTTTTTGGTTCGTAAATGCTACAAATATTAATAATGTTCTTCTGTTGAATTAAAAAAGAAAACAGCATCAACAAGTACTTCATTCTATATATTTCACCTCACATATGTTAGTCTTTATGTTATTTTAAGAGATTTAAACCTGGCAGCAGTCAAACCATTAACTGGAGCAATTTGCACTCAAGCTACCAAACATGCTGCAGTTTGCCGACATTTACCATAAGAAAGGTGACGTATGTAATGCACCCTCTGGCTGCCATGTTGGAGGTCTACAGACCTCACGCAATAGTGGCTGTGAAATCTTTCATACATTTTCTAAAGTATAACAACATTATTTTCTATCTTGGGCAGAAGCTAATATACGTATACTCACTAAATATTTAATGTAGCGTCCACTCCCTTTGCTGCTAATGAGGACTCAATTATTTTTTTTTTATTCAATATTTGTTCTTCTTCACTCAACTTTTCACAATTACATAATATCAGAATTACATAATGTGGGGCGTTAATGTGCTGCGGGAACCTTAAGGACACAAACTTAACTAATTAACCAGCCAGATTTTCAATGAAAGAAGCTTCAAAATATCCTTTTTATGGTGATCATGTTACCTAATATATTACTAATTAATAGTTTGGAACGAGATCTATATTTTCTGGGGAAATATAGTCAGGAAATGTAATGGAAATATGTGACATTTCTTGTTTTCCTTAGTCTTTAAGGGTCAACTTTTACATCTGAACTGCACATTAGATAATTAATACAGAAGCTGATAGTAACTACAAATGAATTATCTTGCTACCAGTGGTATCTTGCTAAAACACATGTATGGAGATCCTGAGTGTTCAGTATTAGACTAAGTAAAACATAATTTTTCATATTGACCGTTTATTTTATAATCCTTCTTGTCATCACAAAGTCTCCCTCAGTCCTTAACCAAGACAAACAGGGCAGAGGCAGTTATGCCATTGACTGTTTGCTTATTCAGGCAAAACTAACAGACAGACACATAACTCCTCTGTTGATGAAATGTCATGATGAAATTTGTCCTTATGGAATAAAATGGTCATTGGAGAACGATTAAGTTGTGAAAGAAAAAAAGATTTTGGCCAGATTATATTTTGTCTTTATATAATTCATATGATTATTCACCAGTGTCTTTTTTTGTTTATATTCAGTCTGTATAAGATTCCCTTTGTGATAGGATTCAAGGCAGCTGTATTTTTTCGCAATGAGCATCTAAAGAAAGTTAGCATTGATTTTAGAGGGAAAAAATATATCTCAGAGTAAGTTTTGGGGGGGATTCTGTACAGCTAAACAACAACAATCCAAAATCATAGATTATTTGGATTCTAGAGGAGATGTCAAAGTTTCCAAACATACCAAATATGTCAGGGTGATGAGGTGTCCTGGTAGCTCACCTGGTAGAGCAAGTCCCACATATCAAGACTGAGTCCTTACCCACATTTTAATCTTTAAGATTTTCTGCATGTCATACCCACTCTCTCTCCCCCTGCATCTCCTGTCTGTCTCTACTGTCACTATCCAAAAAAATATATATGTGAGTGTGAATTTTAGTAAGATGGTGTAGTGGTGCCTGGAGAAGCGGTTATACTCTTAATTTATGCCCCAATTTTTTTTCTAAAGCCTCCTGTCTGCTAAATGCTCTGTGTTACAAATAGGACTAATATTGGTCAAAAATGGTCCAGTATTATTTGTACATTGTCACTAAACTTTTGCTGCTTGACTTCAGGGAGTAAGGATCATTATGGATTAATATTAGCCACATAAAAGTTGCAGATTTTGCAATCACACATGGGTGAGTGAACTAGTACATAATTTATGCAATTTGAGTGAAGAGTTCCTTATTCCTTACTCCATCCACTGATGAAAATTGGACAATTATCCACAGAGGTCTCCACAAATGGACCTGTGGTTATAAACCCGTTAAAAAACACAGAATAAAGAATAAAATCAGTTTTCTGAGACACTGTTCAGTGCACATAGGATGTCCCGGAAGGGGCTGTAGCTCAGCCCGTTCCTCTGATAACTTAAGATCCAGACATCCTGGCAGAGAAACGCGACGTTGACAGGCGACCGTGAAATGTACCGATAAAATTACAGATTTCTCTGGGGTTTGCAGATTGTTGGAAACATTTGGGATAAATACACAACTCACCAAAACATATAACGTTTTAATGCTGGAATGTTGCAAATTATAGCTTTTAAAGGAGAAGTTAAAGGAAGGTGGGTGTTAAGGGTTTAAAGTGTAGATGTTTAGCTTTAATATATTTAATTTTAGTGTTTGCATCCATACTGTGTGAACACTAATATTTGTAGCCTTCTTTATACATAGTCTCTTCCGATACACATTTAGAGGACTAAACAGTAAAGATGGGATCAGACGCTGACCTCCTCCCACTCTAACTGCACTGAGATACTCATCTGTAATGGACTCTACACAGCCCTGACATTAGACATACACTTACAAAATACACAAACATACAAAATCGTAAACACATTATACACGGGCGGAGACCTCAGAGACCTTCAACAACAAGCCATCATAACCAAACAGACAAATGGCTATTAATCATTTCAGTGCCCTTAAAAAAAACACCAGCACATTTCTACACCATCTCTCTATCATATCTACAGTGTGCGGGGGCGGCGGTTTGTCACAAGTGGCACTGGGTAATGAATATTAATGTGCTCAGATGACAGAAGAATTAATTGTCGAGGCGGGTAAATGCTGCATTATCTGCAAGGCTGAAGTATTTGACGGTATATCAGTAACACCAAACTCACGCTAATGAAAAGCTGAGTTCTGGGAAGAGTAATGGCCGTAGTGAGAAAAGGCAGAAACAACAGGGAGGCAGAGCCCTGTTTGCTTTTGCAGAGTGGGCTTTCAATGGGTTTGTTTTGCTC